CAGGCGCCCCAGCCCCGCACTGCCATGTAGGGGAGACAGCACAGGCTGTGGGGAAGAGCCTACAGCACTGATGGAAGAGCCGGTCTGGGCAGGCTTCCCGCAGGCTGTCCACACTGCCCTCCCCCTCTGACCTGCGAGTCCCAGTAAGCCTTTTCAACTGCAGGCATTACGATGGTATAGGGTGCAGCCTGGGGCAAAGGGATGTAGGCAGAAGCGTCCCCCGGAGTTTTGGCATTGGTGCCCTTGTAAGAGGAGAGCACACAGAGAAGGTGATGTGAGTGGAGGCAGAGATAAGAGTAATGTGTCTACCAGCCAAGGAATGCCAAGGACTGCCTGTAACCACCGGAAGCTGGGGAACAGGCATGGAACGGATTCTCCTTCAGAGCCTCCAGCAGGAATCTGCTGCCAGCACCTTGATTTTGGACTTCCTGCTTCCTGAACAGTGAAAATGCATGTCTGTTCTTTTAAGCTACCCAGCCTGTGGCAGTTTGTTACAGCAACCTCAGGAAGCCAATCCCACTGAGGCTCAGCTCCCTACGGAACACATACTTGTGTGGGTTCTAAATGTGCGATGCCTCCGTGTGGACAGAAGATAATACCGAGGGGCGCCTGGGTGGCTCAGTGGGTTAAAGCCTCTGCCTTCAGCTCGGGTCATGATCCCAAGGTCCTGGGATCGAGCCCCGCATCGGGCTCTCTGCGCAGCGGGGAGCCTGCTTCCCCTTCTCTCTCTCTCTGCCTGCCTCTCTGCCTACTTGTGATCTCTGTCTGTCAAATAAATAAATAAAATCTTTAAAAAAAAAAAAGATAATACCGAGACTGGTGAGGAGGCCCAGATTGGCTGTAAGAGAAACAAACCACTTAATTAACCTTTCCCACACTTCCTTTTCCGTCTCAAGTAGAGCTGTGTTCTAGCTGAAACATCAAATACCACTTCTTGGAGGCAAAGCCAAGAAGTGAGGGCATTGCCCTCTATCTGGGACCAGTTTCTGCACACCTCCCTTTCAGCCTGTGGCCCCCAGCCTCCAAGGACCTGGAAGAGATCAGCACTGGGACCCACTCATCAGCGGCAACATCTAAATCTGCATCTTTTACACCTCAAACCCCGTGAACCTAGAGTGGATGAGGAGGGTACATGCAGTGCCGAGGAGGTGGCCAGGCCCACTGGAACCCCAGCCCCAGGCAGCTGCCCAGTGCAGGAGGAAAAGAATTGCCCTGGGTGAGCGGTCAAGGTCTTGCCTAAGACCCGTTCCCAGGGGGCAGAACAGAGCCAAGCAGACCTCACCACGAGGGCACCACACCCTCTGTTCGCTGTCATCATCACGTAGGAAGATTGTGAAGCTGGTGTTTGTCAGTTTCTCTAGGACAGAGCCATGGCCTTGTCCTCCCAAGCCCTCCCTCACCCAGCACCAGAGGGAAAACAGCACACTTAATCCAGGCCTGTGTGGATAGCATGGCAGGAACCAACATGTGGATCCTTTGCCAAGCTTCACCCACCCCTGCCTAGACTAACAAATGGCTGGAATCCAGAAGCAGGAGGCAGGGATGGGATGCACTGCAGTTCCCAGGAATCCTAAGGCTTTGAGCTCTTGGGGAACAGATCTGGGAGGCAAAGGATCCAGGAGACACTAGTGAGAAAATGGAAGTTAAGCTTCGAGCAAAGTGTTCATTTCACTCAGTCTTTTTTTTTTTTTTTTTTTTTAAACTAAGGAGCTTAATAAGGTGAAAAAAAATAAGTCAAGAGCTGGGAGACCCCCTCCAAGTCACAGTATATGGTTTCCTCTTAACAATTTTCTGTGCCACTGTTTCCAGAGGAGGGGTGGTCCTGAAGCTCTAGGTCACTAGCCCCCGGCTAGTGACAACAGATGTAATGTGGCAGGAAAAGCATGTTCACTGCTGTCCTCAGCTTGGAGATTTTACATGTATTGGGCTCGTCAGGATTTGCCTCCCACCCTTCATATCCTATAAACTTAAGACCAAAAGGGAGCACTTCTAGTAAAGAAAAACCCAGGAGATGAAGGTGGCAGTGAATCCACCTGAGGTGAGAGGAGCCCTCAGGACTCCAGGAGACCCTGTCCTAGTCAACAGTGCTCTTCTCATAACACCATTAGGAAATCACCGACACACCCAGGCACCATCCCTTCCTGCCACATGGCCCCTTCAGGGGATCAAGGGTCAGGACTCACATTGTTGTACCTCACAAATCATCCGGTCAAAGTTGTGTCTGTGTTGCCATTTGTGGCGGCTCTCAGTCTGGCCAGGGATTGAAGCACTGGACAGCTCCCTCCGGATCCCATTCCACAAGTGCACCCTCCCACCCAAACCCCCGTCACACTCCCTGCCCTTCATCAGATCTGACATGCCCCACCTGGAGGACTATATGCTCCGTGAAGCACACGGACAGATATCACATGATCTCACATATGTGGAATCTAAGTTGAACTCATGGAAACAGAATGGTGGTTGGCAGGCCTGGGGTGTGGGGGAAATGGGGAGATGGGGAGATGTTGGTCAAAGGGTATAAACTCTATTAAGTTCTGGAGACCTAATGTATAGCATTAGTTAATATTAACATATTGTATACTTGACACTTGCTAAGAGATTGGATCTCAAATGTCCTCATCACACATTAAAAATGTTAACTATGTGAACTGATGGGTATTACTGTGGTAATCATTTCACAATACCTATGTATACCCAAACATCACACTGTATACCCTTTTTACCAGTATGAATTTCGGTCTTTTACTCGCTGCTGGGGAAACAGTTCCTGGCACAGACAGCACTTAATAAGTCAACGAGTGGCTCTCATTTTATCCTCATGCAATCCTGAAAGCAGATGGGTTTTATTCATTCCATTATTACTCTGCCAGACCCCATGCTATGGAGGGGATCCAGCAGTGACATGAGACAGATACAAGGCCCCTTCCCTTGTGGGTCTTGAAGTAGGCAGAAAATACACAAACAGATACAGTAACAAATTCTGATAAGGCTAGAAAGGGAAAGTACACAGTGCTCAACATCCTCTGTTCTGCTGTCATCATCACGTAGAAGACTGTGAAGCTGGTGTTTGTCAGTTTCTCTAGGACAGAGCCATGGCCTTGACCTCCCAAGCCCTCCCTCGCCCAGCACCAGAGGGAAGACAGCACACTTAATCCAGGCCTGTGTGGATAGCATGGCAGGAACCAACATGTGGATCCTTTGCCAAGCTTCACCCACCCCTGCCTAGACTAACAAATGGCTGGAATCCAGAAGCTCAGCAGGTGTCATTTCTCCAGTGCTCAGCAGGTGTCATTTCAGTCTCTGCTCACAAGGGCATCCTTAAGCAGCTGTTACGGAGGAAACTGAAACCCAGAGAGCAGATTCTGCCCAAGATCCCGGATTCAAACCCAGGTCTGCTTCACTCCATAAGCCTACCTTGCATTTGATCCCTAAGAGGAAGTTAGTCAGACTCTTGAGCTACAGGCCAAAAAACAACACAGAAGCTTGGAAGCACAAGTGTCACACTTCCCAAAGGGAAGATGGGTGCTGTCTCCTCTTGGGGTCTTCATCATACCTACTAATGAGCTCACATGTTTGAACCCCTTCCCTTGAGGGAGCATGTTACAGGGACTTTGAGGTAAGAATCATGAAGTAGCAAGGGACAGGTTAAGATTTCACTTTTCCAGGAGAGAAAAATATGAGGATTCACTCCACATTTGAAGCCGAAGTGTTCTCTGCCACTGAGGGTGTTCCCTTCCCCTCTTCTCCCATCAAAAATACACTTGGGGGGCGCCTGGGTGGCTCAGTGGGTTGGGCCTCTGCCTTCGGCTCAGGTCATGGTCTCAGGGTACTGGGATCGAGCCCCACATTGGGCTCTCTGCTAGGCGGGGAGCCTGCTTCCCCCTCTCTCTCTGCCTGCCTCTCTGCCTACTTGTGATCTCTGCCTGTTAAATAAATAAAAAATATTAAAAAAAATACACTTGGAAGTTTTTGCAAGAAAGAATAGGAGGCCTTGGACAAAAAACTTTCCTTTGGTGCACACAGCTCCAAACCTACTCCTATCATCCAAGGCAGGTTCGGATGGTCAGTGGGACAATCATGTGTCCAGGGCCAACCAGGGCAGCTCACAATAATAGTCTCCAGTAACAGCGCTCACTTCTCCAGAAATTCTGAGGGTCCAGGCTCTGCCCTAACTGTTCACATGCACTATGCCCTGTGTAAAGGACCTCACCGTCATCCTCCCCATTTACAGATGAGCACACCCATACTCCAAGTAGCTGTCACTTGCTCACAAATAGCTCTTGCTCCTCGACACTATGATGAAGACCATTTTATGTTCATTTTGGCTGGAGTCTGGGAAGACATCCACATATTTGATGGCTGGGCTGATGCTTAGTCTCCCTCTGATCTCGGGATACACGCACCCACCCTCACAGGTGGGAAAACGTACCCCCGGGTCTCACACTGGAGGGCAGACCAATAGGTGGAAATGATACCCCTCCAGGAGGAATTAGAATTACACATGCCCATAATCGCGTGGAGCCAATATTAACACTCAAGTCCAGCCTGGTCCCAGGGCTTATGCCAAGAAGAAGGGGGCCTGGTCTGAGTCCCCCAGGCTGAGCCGATGGCAGCTCCAGGCCGGCTGGTCCCACTCTTGCGGTGACCCCCTTCCCGCGGCTCCGCGCGCGCCACCGCGCGCACGCGCCAGCATCCGGAGAGGACCGGGAGCGCCCGCGCAAGACGGAAGGTGGCACTGCGGCGGTAAGCGTCAGGCTCCCGGTCACCGCGGCAAGGAGCCCGCAGCCACGGCGCCCAACCTGGCCACCAACAGCACCACATTGAGTGGCCAGAGCAGCCGCTCGTCCCCAGGTCCCGGCGGGTGGCTAGGAGAGAAGCGCACAGGAGGCCTCTCCCGTATTTCCGGCGCGGCCACGGCCAGCCGGATGTAGAAAGCGCAGAGCCACCGAGCCGCAGAGCGGCCCGCGACGGCTGCGCAGGCGCCGCCAGTACAGGCGGGGCCGGAAGGAGAGACAGAGCGCCGCCATGACAGGTTGGGCCTAAAGGGAACAGAATGGGCCACTTGCCGGCTCTGCGACCGGAAAAAACGAGGCAAGGACAGCCGAGTTGGGCGCCGCCATGACAACTTGACCGGAAAAGGCGGAGCTCTCCTCCCGGACTGATTTCCTACCCGTACCGGCCTGGAGATGTGAGTAGCGGGAGCGCCTACCCTGGATCTGCTGCCCTCTCTTCCGTGATCTGGACCTGGGCCAGCACTCCGGGAGGAAGGGTTGGCGTCTTTGTTCCTCGAAGATCCGACCCTTAGGATTCAGAGCAGTCCATTACAAGTCTCGTCCCTCCGCGTGTCTAGGCCCCGCCCCCTGGGCGTTTAGACTCCGCCCCTCTTCTTTGGGTAACTGGGAACTTGTCAGGTCCACACTTAACACCCACCCAATCGTGCCCCTAGGACCCCAGGCACGGTCCATCACCTTGCAACCCTAGGACTGCAGAATTGTCACGGCACCTCTGCGATTCTTAGACCCGTTCTTATAGCTCCGGGTTCATCCCCCTAGATCACCAAACTATACCTTCTGAACCTTCGGATCAGCGCATCATCGCAGATCTCGCCTGTAACGCCCACAGACTTGTTCCCAGACCACCCGTGCCGCTCTAGATTTCCAGATCTTGTTCTCAAGAGCTTACTTGTACGAACATCCAGATCTATCCCAAGGCTCCAGCCTCACCCAGTGCTTCCACATCATGCCCCTAGAACTCGGAGGCCCACCCCAGGGCTTCAAGTCTCACCTCCAGTACCTCTGTCCTCAGACTTAATCGTTAAGACTCTGGTCAATGGACCCTTTCCCAGGACCCAAGACCTTACCACTTGGTCTTCTGAACCTCTTTTTAGGACTTCCGAACCCCTTTATGGCTCCCAGATTTTCTCCTAGAACTCAAGATCTTACTTCTAAGGCCCTATCGAGGGATGCCTGAAGGACCCCAAGGCTTGCCTTTGAATGATTAGACTTTTTTTGGAAAAGATCTCCGTCATCTTCCCAGAAGCCCCCACCCTGTTCCACAGTCCCCAGGGCTCATGCTTTCCCTCCCCGTCCATCTCCCTGGCTCTTTCCCAGGATACCTTCAGACTCTTAGATCTGCCCAAGATACCTAGTGTTGTTCCACGCTCCATCCCCCTACTGAGATCAGAACTCCCTTTCTGGTCTGTTGCCTGAAATTACCCTCAGCCCACCATGTCCCACAGGCAGGCAGCCCTGGAGGTCACGGCTCGCTACTGTGGCCGGGAGCTGGAGCAGTATGGCCAGTGTGTAGCGGCCAAGCCTGAGTCATGGCAGCGGGACTGTTACCACCTTAAGATGAGTATTGCTCAATGCACATCCTCCCAGTGAGTGTGGGCAAGAATGGGACGGGGTGGAGGGTGGGGGCGGGCAGTGGAGTGGAAGTGTGAATGCTTGAAATGTCCTTCCTCCACAGCCCAATCATCCGTCAGATCCGCCAGGTCTGTGCTGAACCTTTTGAGGCCTTTGAGGAGTGCCTTCGACAGAATGAGGCAGCTGTGGGCAACTGTGCAGAGCACATGCGCCGCTTCCTGCAGTGTGCTGAGCAGGTGCAGCCGCCGCGCTCACCCTCAACTGCGGAGGTTAAGCCGCCACGATCACCCTCAACTGTGGAGGTGAGGCAGGAGCAGGGACTCGTCACTATTCACCCCCTTTGTCCTTGTAGTTGCTCAAAATAAAGACCTGGGAGTTACCCTCAGCCCCCCTGCCATAGGCCTGCGTGAGCATCTGGGATCCAGAACATGATCACCTCTTGCCCCTTCCCATAGCCCCTGCTTCAGTCCAGACCCCTCTCTGACCTCTCCACCTCCAGAATCCCTGCCCCAGCCTTTTCCCTGACTCTCTGAATCCCCTCTCACTTGCCCTCCACACAGTAGCCAGAGAGAGCATTTAGAAACTGAAAACTCATCCTGGTACATATTTGCTTAGATCTCTTCAGTAGCTTCCCATTCGCTCTGAGAACAAAATCCAGGTCCTTGCTGGTTCTCTGTGTTCTTCCCTGGGCTGACCTCATCCACCTCCTTCCTTACCTGCTCTCTTGTTCCCTTCCTCACTACCCCTCTGCTGTACTCAGTGAGGGGATGAGGAGTGAGCAAATGAGTCTTACTCTCTTTAATGATGTGTACAGTACATAAACAGATATGCAGTATAACGATGGTATTAAGATTTCATGGATGGCTGCAATTTTTAAAAGCTGTCTTAAAAGATTGCTTGGGGAGGCTGCCTGGGTGGTGGCTCAGATGTTTGCGCATCTGCCTTCAGCTCTGGTCATGATCCCCAGGTCCTGGGATCGAGTCCCCATTGGGTTCCCTGCTCGGTGGGGAGCCTGCTTCCCCCTCTGCCTCTGTGTGTGTGTGTATGTCTCATGAATGAATAAATAGGATCTTTAAAAAAAAAAAAAGATGTCATTAAAGACCCCTTGGGGAGCAGTAATAAAAATGAAATTGAGAAATGCTCCTTTAGAAGTTAACCACCTCCCCTCACTGGACAGTGTCCTCCTAAGGCAAAAGTCACATCTTGAACCACCTCCCTCTTAACATTCTCATTTGAGCCTCTGTGTTCTGTATTACCGCTTTCAGTCCATTCTCTGTGATGGTCCCAGAGCAGTCCCAGAGGAAATCTGACCATATTCTGCTTCACTTATTTTATTTTATTTGAGAGAGAACGTGCGAGTGGGGAGAGGGGTAGAGAGAGCAAAAGAGAGGGAATCCTAAGCAGACTCCACACTGACTCAGGGCTTGTTCTCAAAACCCTGAGATCATGACCTGAGCCCAAATCAAGAGTCAGCGCATGCTTAATCACCTGAGCCACCCAGACACCCCATGTCCTGTTTCACTTGAAAACCTTTCGGTTAAGTGTCTGCCTTCAGCTCAAGTCATCATCCCGGGACCCTGGGATTGAGCTCCAGGTTGGGGTCCCTGCTGAGCGAGGAGCCTGCTTCTCCCTCTGCCTGCTGCTCCCCCTGCTTGTGTGCTCTCTCTCTGTCAAATAAATAAGTAAGGTCTTTTAAAAAAAACAAACAAGCAAAAAAACCACAAAGCTTTCCGTGGCTTCTCACTTCCATCCTCCAAATCTAAATTCCAGCACAGCCTATAGGGTCCCCGCCCACCCCGCTCCCTACTTTTTACATCATACTCTGTTCCAGCCATAGTGAGCCTGCAGTTACTCAGGTGCGTGTCTCTCCTGCTGGCAGGCTTTTATCCAGCTATTTCCTTCTGCCTGGACTGTCCTTCCGGGCCACCTGGCTACTTGCTATTCTGGCTTATATATCGCTGCCTCTGAAAACATCCCCAGCTGGCGCATCCCCATCTCCAGGCTCCCAGGGTGTCTGAGCTCCCTCCATCATGGCTTGTATCTCACTGCCTTGTAACTGCTTCATTCCCATTGGCTGTCTCAGAGGGGTTCTTGGCTAAATATGGGGGAGATGCCTTTCTACCAGGCCCTGTAGTTCTTGTTTTTTTTTAATAAGGCAGTAATAAGTGAAAGGTTCAGGCCCTAGGAGTGGACACCAGTAGGAAGGACTTTTATTTATTTATTTTTTAAGATTTTATTTATTGGGGTACCTGGGTAGCTCAGTGGGTTAAGCCTCTTCCTTAGGCTCAGGTCATGATCTCAGGGTCCTGGGATTGAGCCCTGAATCGGGCTCTCTGCTCAGCAGGGAGTCTGCTTTCCCCTCTCTCTCTGCCTACCTCTCTGCCTACTTGTGATCTCTCTCTACCTCTCTGTCAAATAAATAAATACAATCCTTAAAAAAAAAAAAAAAAGATTTTATTTATTTATTTGACACAGAGAGAGAGAGAGATCACAAGTAGGCAGAGGAGGCATGGTTCGTCATTCCTGCTCTGGTTAAGCAGTCAGCCTCTTCCTGTGGCCATCCTGCCCCTAAATCAGCTCTCCTCTGGCAGCCAGAGGACCTTGTAAAAATGGAAATGAGATCATATCTCTTCCTTTACAGCCTTGTTGTGGTTCCTGAGTGCACTCAGAGTGATTACCACCACACCTGCTTCCTCTATTGCCCTGTAACAATGCCAGGACACAGCACATGCTCAGTAAATATAGCAAATGGTGACTTCTCTGCTCCCAGTGACAGTTCACTGTGTCAGATGTGTTCACATGACAGATGGCCAAGGTCATCACCTGATACCTTCTCCCTCCAGACTCTGGACTTGGCAAAGGCAGCCTCTGCTGTGTCTACATAATCTCCCCAGTGGTGGCCCCAGGACCAGGCACGAAAGAGGTGCTAGTAGATGGTCATGTTTTTTTTTTCCACAGGCAAAGCCACTTCCTACCTCCTGAGGACTCTGAACCATGGAAAAACTGGACATGAGTGACTGGCTCCTTGATGCCCCCAGCCCTGAAGAGTGGCCAGGTGGAGTCCTGAGGGGCCTGGACATGAGTCTGGCTTCTCTGGACAGCAGGACTCACAATAAATAAAGACTCTGTATACCAGACTTTGTCTTCTGCCTTCAGCAGCTGAGGGGGAAACGCTGCTCCTCTGTTCCCCAGCTTCGCACCGTGTGCCAAGAAAGGGCCTGCTCACCAGAGTTAAGATGACCCCTCTTCCCTCGTTAACTCTGCTAACAGCCACTTCCAGTCTCCTGCTGCACAGATGTGGGAAAGGCTCTTTCTCCCATCCACTCCAGCGTTTACCCAGTCTTTACGGAGCATTTCCTTGAAGTTTAGGGGGCAATAATATCATACTTCTTTTCCTCCTGAGTTTTGAAGCAGTCGTGTGATAGACACGGGCACTAGACAGTGGGAATGAAAATACTGGCTTTATACTGAGAACAGCGACACCAAGGGTATGGTTTAGCGTGTGCTGTCCTGGACTTCAGTTCTGTCTTGGTTTGTGTCCTTCCAAAATTCAACCCTGAGAATTAGAGTGCAGATATTATATTTGGAATGTGATTCCAGAAACGTTTGGAGGTGAGTGGAGAGGTGAGACAGAGAGGAAGGCAGCTGACAAAAGGTGCGTTATCAAGCCAGTTACCACAGTGGACAATGGACTCAATCTAAGGGGCAAGGGGGTTGGGGTATAGATCACCAACTGCCCGTCTGTCATCAGGGGCAGGTGTCATGGGCACTGATGGTCTTGCACTCCTTCCTGCCCTGTGTGGTCCTGTGCCCTGCCATCAAACAGGCCCTGCGTGGAGAGTAGCCAGGAATCAAGTGAGCAGCATTCAGCGCCCAGAAGAGGGCTGAGTGGATCTGGGCAGGGACCAACAGGGGCTGCTGCAGCTTCTCAGTTTCTCCTCAGAAGTACATGTTCTGTGAGCTCAGCTGGTTGAGCACGAGTGCCCCAGGGGGGGCAGGTCCTAAAGGGCAGAGGGCAGACAGGACTGATGGGGGAGAGAGAGCCCGGCGTGCCCGGCTGAGTGTGCCCAGTGCCTGCACCCAGATTCACCATTCAGACAAGCCACTTCCCCCTGGACATGACTCCAAACTTCCAGAAATTAGAAGTGACTGCCCAGTGCTGATAGATTGGCCACTGGAAGCCCAAGGCTTGTGCTCTGGCTTGGAAAAATGAGCCAGGGTGTCTCCTGGGGATTTGATCTTTAAGACGAAGTTGTCAGTTTGCTTGGGAGCAGTCAGGGTTGCCAGAGCTGCCAAAAGCCATGTGGTGCAAACCAGAGAAAACCCAGGTAGAGAAAGGAATGTGATCGTTCTTGTGGTTCCTAAACGGGCTGCTTGGGTCCTGATGGCTTTCTGTCCCCAGCTTTAGTTTCCTTGGGTTATGGATTGAGTCCTCAGAACTTCTTGTGTTTTCAGCCAACCCCACTTTGCTTGAGTGGGGTTCTGCTCCATGTAATTATAAGGAGGGTAACAAGGGGGCGCCTGGGTGGCTCAGTTGGTTAAGCACCAGACCCTTGATTTTGGCTTAGGTCATCATCATCTGGGTCATGGGATCAAGCCCCATGCCAGGCTCAATGTTCAGTGGGGATTCTGCTTGAAATTCTCCCTCCCTCTGCCCTTCCCCATTCTCTCTCTCAATTAAATAAAAAAGAAAAGAAGTGATAAGAACAAACAAAACAAGTTGATTAATCTTTTCACAGAATTTTTTGGGGGAAGATTTTATTTATTTATTTGAGAGAGCGGGTAAGAGAGAGCATGAGAGGGGAGGAGGTCAGTGAAAGAAGCAGACTCCATGGAGCTGGGAGCCCGATGGCGGACTTGATCCCAGGACTCCAGGATCATGACCTGAGCCGAAGGCAGTCGCCCAACCAGCTGAGCACCCAGGTGCCCCTCTTTTCACAGAATTTACTTTTGGCTTTACTGGTGTTCTTTGCATATTTGTTTTTAATTTATCTTCTTCACCTTTTTTGGATTTAATTTTTTTTCTTTTTGAAATGAATGGTTAGCTCAATGATTCTTAGCCTTTTTTCTTTTCTAATGTACACACTTAAATTTCCCACAAAGCAAGCCTTTCTATTTTGCATTTTTCATTGACCCCAGATTATTTAGAAGTTTAAAACTGTATTTTTAAATTTCTGAACACATGGGGATTTTTCTCATTATCTTGCCTAATTGCAATTGGACTAGGAACACATTTTCTATGGTTTCAGTCTTTAGAAATATGTTGAGACTTTCACGGCTTGGCATAGGGTTGGCTTTTGTTAATGTGCCATCTGCACTTGAATCCTAATCCTTGGTTCATGATGCACTATCTTAGGTCGGGTTCCCCCAGAAACAGATTTTGAGGCAGCGCTTTGGAAGATGGCCCCAGAAAGCACTGGTAGGGCAGAGGGAAGTGAGACAGGAAGGGAAAGCAGCACATCAAGGCTGCATTATCAAGCAAGTTACCACTGGCCAACAGCTTAACTCTGGGGAACTCTGGAAAACAGTGGAGAACATATACTTCCCACTCAAGGGGGATCTAACTAACCCCCACCAGTCATTTTCCCTGCTCCTTCCTGTGTGCCAGACACACAGGCAAAGTGGGCTCGGGTGGAGAGAAAACTCCAGCAAAGAGCAGCAGCTTCGGGGCAGTTCGCTCAGTGGTAGCCACCCTGTGGCCATTCATTGCAACGTGACCCACGGCCACCACCACCATTGTCGCAGCCTGTCATGGCGGCCTTACAGTAGCCCCCATCATCTCAACTCCCTTTGGTGCCCGTCACTGCTGCCTCCCATGCCTGCATCACACCACAACTACCATTGGTGGAGGTTTTGCAATAACACAAATGCTTTCAAAATGCTTGGCTCTGTTCACAAAGGATGGCTGCCTTCAACCAAGGAGGTCAACTGGAAGTAGTGGGCGTGAAGGCTGAGGGAGTATTGAGAACAGTGTGGGGAGGGGACAGGGGTCAGTGTAGGGGGACGTGTGCAGATGTTGAGGTGATCAAGTGAGCCGATGACCCTCAGGATTCTGAGGAGGCAGAATATGCCTGTCAAGGGAGTGCAGAGGTGAGGAGGTAGGGTATGTTAACCCGAAAGCAGAGTATGTCCTCGAGAGTCTCCAGTTCACCTGTGGTGGTTGAACTGAGGATTTGCGCTTGCCATTGAATATACTGACTTTGTTGATAAAAATAATCAGAATAAGGACGCTATATATTTCAGTCAGCACTCCCTTGAGTAGGTAAGCACCTGGTTTATGCTATGAAAATCTTTTGGACAGAATCTGTATAAACAGAAGCCAGATTCTCTAAGGAAATTCATTATCCTGAAATAAGCTGACAGGGCACATGGCTGGCTCAGTGAGTAGAGCATGTGACTCTTGATCTCATGGCTGTGAGTTCGAGCCCTATGTTGGGTACAGAGCTTACTTTAAAATCTAAAATCTAAAAAACTATATATATATATATATATATATATATATATATATATATATATCCGATTTTAAAAATCTATTTCAGTATGCAGACAAGGCTGAGAACCACTATCCTAGTGGAATTTCTCAATTTTGATTGTCTTCTATAATATTAACATGCTTGGAATTAAGGTTTGAAAGTTTTGGAAACTACTTTGAAGCTCGTGACGTTAACAGAGGTTTCAGAGTCCAGGGAGTCGGTGTGTGTCACAATAGTATTTCTTTTTTAACTCAATAAATATTTACCAGTGAGGTGGTGACATGTGAGACAAGGTCAGACCCAAATAATTCGAATCCTTTCCTTCTCTGATGGTCTAGAAATTATGGGATGCATGGAGTGTTGGGTCAGCTGAACAGAGGAAAGAATGTCTCTCTGAAAAGTATTAAGAAGCAGCAAAATTGCCAAGGACACAGACAAGTGTGTGTAACGAAGGGACCTGCACTCCCGAGGTTCTCAAGGGCAGATGGCTGGACACTGTCCCTGGAGCTGCCTTTGCTGCAGAGCGTGGGCAGATAGGCAGATCTCATGCTTCCCAGGATAAGCCACTGGGGATAACACCATGACTGTGGTGCAGCAGTACAAGGGACTGGTGAAGAAAAGAGAGACATGCAGATCAGAAAAATGAAGAAGCAGAACAACCCCAAGGCACCTAGCCCCAGCAGAGCACCAGCCCCAGGGAACTGTGTCCAGGCAAGCATGTATGTTAAGCTACATAAGTGTAAGATTTTAAAAAGCAGAATGTAAACCCAGTAGTACTAATTAAAAAGCAAATTACCTCTATTGAATAAAAACAACTACTTACTTTTTCTGTCTAACACAGTAAGAGTTTTTCTTTTTCTTTCTTTGTTTTTTTTTTTTTAAGGATTTTATTTATTTATTTGTCAGAGAGAGAGAGAGAGCACAAGCAGGGGGAGCAGCAGACAGAAGGAGAAGCAGGTTCCCTGGTGAGCAAGGAACCTGAAATGGGACTTGATCCCAGGACCCTGGGATCATGACCTGAACTGAATGAAGGCAGATGCTTAACCAACTGAGCCACCCAGGCATCCTGAGTTTTGCTTTTTCTATTTCTTTTTCCAGTAATAATTCTCTAAACTGCTTGCATTCTCAAGGATGCCCTTCTCTTCTCTTATGTGGTGGTAAAACTGAAAATCCTTTCTTCCATGGTCCATGATTTTGTCAAGAGGGTAGTGAGCTTGATGGCATCACATGAGACTGACCCCAGGAATCAGATGTTGGCTTGCTGAGCTGAAAGTCAAAGCAAATTTTATGTAATGAAGTAAAAGAGAGCAAGTAAAAAATCTCATTAAATGCTCCTGTACATTTTGAGGAAATGGAAACGTGACTAAAATGCACATTATGAATGCCTCAGTATCATAGGTAAGTAAATCACAACTCCGTATTGGCAAGCTTGTACATTAGATGTCCAGGACACCTAACAAGTAACATCTTTTCGTTTTTCTTGGTAAGAAACAGACTGAGCGGGAGGGGCCAAAATTTACATTTGCACTCCCTGCCAAATATGCAAATAAATAAGAGAAGCCTAGTTTGGTTTTGGATAAAAGATCAGCAATCTTTTATGTTTTCTGTGATTTCATTACAGTCGTCATAGAAATTAAGGAGATGATTGAAACTCCATTTTTCAA